CACCGAAATTCTGTTTGGGTGCAACCCACTTCAATACATACAGATACAAAAATATTTACAAACATCGAAAATATAACAAGAATAGCAAAAACGTAACTAATAAAAATGAAAAAAAAAACCAAACATATGGCCTATGTATATATATAAATGCAGTTTAAAGAGACAAGTAATAAACATTAATTTAAACATTTCAGTTATAGTATCTTATGGCAAAAGGTATGAATGAGTTGAGAAATTGTAAGGTACAGCATTTAGCAGACATAATCTCTTTCATAGCCATTTAATTTCATTAAAGATTGGGTGGTTTCTATCTTTTAATATTGCGATGGTTTCTTTTCAGAATAATCTCGCAAATTTATACAGAAGGCCTTAATATTAATCACTCTGCATGCAAACCTTTTATCAAAATTCATCTTCTTAAATGATATTGGCTATGTTCACACACGGCTGCTAACGGTTAGCAATATCCGGATCCTGCTAACCGTTAGCTGCCGTGCGCTCAACGCGCTCAACTTGCTAACCGATAGCGCTTGCTAACCGTTAGCAGTATCCAGCTACTGCTAACGGTTAGCGCTAACCGATCGGGCGTTCTCATGCAGGTGTTAACGGTTAGCGCTAACGGTTAGCTCCCTATCCGGATACTAGGGCTCTCGTGAGAACCATGCTAATAGCTCGCTAGTATTGATGGTCAACTAAATCTTCCCTACTACAGAAGATAATTCCTGCCTATATGGAATACTTTGCCTGTGGTAGTTCTAAATGGTAAAACACGTACATTTTCAAGAATCAAAAAAACTCCTATTTAATTGCGTAAAACCCAGGCTTTTAGTTGCTATGGTATTTATATAGCAGGAAGGTACAATGTCTCTGCTTTTTCTTGCAACTGCATTAATTTATTCTTCCACACATTATGTTGATGCACCTTGAGATTGTTTAATGGCCAGTGGTACGATTTTTTTTGTTACCCAATTTCACATGAGATTGGTGGACAGACTGCGTGTTGGTTCGTCTTTGTAAATAAAAGAAACTAAATAAGAATCTGAATAGCATTTATTCAGCACTGTCAATACATTCGCCATATGTTATGTGATTTGTTCAGAGGGATCGTATTATGTGCAAGTGTGAGTGAGTTTACTATATAGTAACTCCAACAACAATTATGCAATATAACATTATAGGCATACAACTACTTTATAATGTGAATGGTAATAGGCATTTTCAAAAAAAAAATTAAAATAAAAAAAATAGAAAACAGCTTATAAAAACAGTAAAAATAGTGAAAGCGTTGCTGAAGTACAGAATTGGCTGGGACTACAATTACAATTACAGTCATTCGGAATTAACTTCCCTTTTTTTCAATTCAAAACGTACGCTCATTTCAAATATTTAAAAGGTAAGTAATAACAAGTACTTACTTAAACCATGAAAGACAAAAAAAAAATATTAAATTAAAAGTTAAAGTAAATTTAATTCACATTATAATATACTTTGTGCACATGACTAAAGTGGTCAATTGAAAAAAAAAGAGTATATCAAGTTTCAAACTTACCAACGCCCGTCTTCCTTAATAATGATTTTTATTTCCTCCTCAAAAACATGAATATAAACATAAACATCTTCACACACAATATATTAAAAGGCACAGAGGAGGGATAAAATAATGCATAATTACCATTTCGTTTTTGTCTACCAAATTTTCAAAGCGAAACCAACCAAAAAAGAATCAACTTGCGAATTAAATCCAATTTATCGAAGGAAATTCAAATTAAAATCTTCGTTTTAGTAAGAAAGTGCCAACGGTTTTAAGGATAACTTTCGAATGACAATTGAAAGAGAGTTTATAAGATGGTGTACAGTTGAAAGGAAAGACGGTAAGCTACCAGAACATGAAGATAAAATAATTGGTAGCCTAGGCGTATTTCCTCATTCCATTTCTTTAAAACATATGCATATATCCTGCCTGTAGTAGAAAGTTTCTTTTTTGATGATCATTTGAAAGTAAGAATTGTGCTAACTTACAGAAGAGACATGACGCTTCTCCTGCATCCATCAGGTCTTATAGTCATAAGTACTAATATGACGGTCATGGGCTATCCGAACTTTGGTTCTGATGAACGAACGATGGCCGGTCACCTTCAAAATATTATCATATGTGTGGCAGTTTATACACTTTGGTCTCGGTTCACGTTGTTAGGATGTAACCTTATATTTATTGCTTTATTTATTACTTCTTAAGTTTCATTCGGTTGCATTGGTTAGAATATAGGGAAATCCTAAGTGGTCATACTGTAGGTTGTACTGTTCACATTAATGATTCATCGTAACCAACATCGGATAGCCCGCAATCGTCATCTTTTGCTGGAAGCAGACGAAACGTCATTTAGATAATCAGAAAAGAACTTTATACTAACTTGTTATCGGATCCAGTGGCGGATTCAAGGGGAGGGGGAGCCGGCCCGGGCACCCTTACATTTTTCAAATTTATTTTAAAAAATCTAGAAAAAAGGGAAAATTATAATTAAATTAAAGGTTTAATAGTCCCATTTTTAGCCATTTGAGGTGCCATAATCATAAATGTTCTTACCTCAATCCCAACCATGCAAGGGGTGAGGTTTTCTAGTCCCTCCGTCTCTGAAAGTTCCCCCCGCCCTCTGGAATTCCAGGTTCCGCCACTGGAATCTATCACTACATCAACAGATCTAACTTTTCTAGAATTATTCGCAATAGGTAAACAAATGTATTTATTTTTACAGTAAAATGAATATGGTATTGATTTAAATTGTAAAATAAAAAAAGAATTTTCTACCTTTATTACGAACAATATTGGACAGTAGAGTTTCCAAAATCACATGCATGTTTATGAAAGCCTAAGCCGATAGGGATTTTTGTAACGATAACGATCGTTAATGCGTGTGTTGTAACATCAGCAGATTTAAACCGTTAGGACATGTCTTTGTACTCCCTCCTTCAAATGTGTTGTTAAGCTTTTTGTTACACGTACATGATGTAGGCTACAAATGTGAAGAGAGTAGACTGTTACCTGACATTTATTTATTTATTTTATTTATTTATTTATTTATTTATTTATTTGTGACACTTCACCGTCGTATCGGTGGCACTCACAGTCATTGGTGCGGTCTTACAAAATACAAGAAAGAATCCTAACATTAACAATCAATACTTAACTACTAAAAAGCACCAAAACTCGAATGCAACAGTTTTAACAAAATAAGCCAAAGGAAATCAAAAGGAAAAGAAATATACTGCATGCATATGAATATATTAATGCTACTATCAACTTTTCGCTCTTCTACATGTTTACGCAGTTTGAGACAACTACCCTTACTTCTACATCTATTTATTTATTTATTTATTTATTTATTTATTTATTTATTTATTTATTTATTTATTTATTTATTTATTTATTTATTTATTTATTTATTTATTTATTTATTTATTTATTTATTTATTTATTTATTTATTTATTTATTTATTTATTTATTTATTTATTTATTTATTTATTTATTTATTTATTTATTTATTTATTTATTTATTTATTTATTTATTTATTTATTTATTTATTTATTTATTTATTTATTTATTTATTTATTTATTTATTTATTTATTTATTTATTTATTTATTTATTTATTTATTTATTTATTTATTTATTTATTTATTTATTTATTTATTTATTTATTTATTTATTTATTTATTTATTTATTTATTTATTTATTTATTTATTTATTTATTTATTTATTTATTTATTTATTTATTTATTTATTTATTTATTTATTTATTTATTTATTTATTTATTTATTTATTTATTTATTTATTTATTTATTTATTTATTTATTTATTTATTTATTTATTTATTTATTTATTTATTTATTTATTTATTTATTTATTTATTTATTTATTTA